TATTTAGAAAATATCTTCAGTAGTTATACAGTGGGGTTACATTTCAGCTTGTTAATTTATGAGTATAATGTACTTTGACCAATGTCATCTCTTCCATCATTCTCTCTTGGAGAATATATTTGTGGTTTTTTTTTTAGGTTTTTATTTTGGAAACTTTTATTCACTTGAAATAACCAAGACAAGCTAACTCTTAAAACTCAGTTTAGGGATTCAGGGGATTGTGGTTGGCAGAAACTCAGGTCTGGTGAGGCCATGTTGACTTCCTCACAGTGTGGAGATGGCTGTGGCAGGAATAAGTGATTATTTGACTGAGCAGGTTGCAGACTGCAACTGGGTGAGGCCGCGTTAGGCTTCTGTAACAATTCTTGGCAGAAACCAACCAGGATCCCACATAAACTAACCAGATTCCACGAGAAATACCATAATACTTCTCAAGAACTGGTGTCCCTTTGACCTAGCCCCACCCCCCACCCTGCCCAGAGGCCTAGCCGCTACTTCACCACACTGAGGACCAAGCTTAGAACATGTGGACCTTTGGAAGGCCAACCACATCCAAACTGTAGCATGCCTTCTAGACAGATAAAATAGCTTAATGAATTCTAATGTTCCAGTCAGAGAACCCTCAATAATAACTAAGTCATGGCCAATCTCAGCATCCTGTGAGGTACAGGACAACCCCACAACAAAGCATTATTATTGCTATTACTATAATAATTGTTATTAGCACTATATATTTTGGTGCTACTATGAATGCTAACTTGTAAGTCCAGTTCTCTAATGGTTGCCTATATGCATATCTAAATGGGTGTTGTGTGTGTGTATATATGTTATTGAATGTTTGTTATTGAATGTTACTGTTTCTATGGTTTGATGTGTCTTATTTTAGAGGTCCTCCCTCAGTCTCTCTTATTCCCTTTAACTTAGAACTCTGTGCCATAGAATTTCCCATACATGGACTTTGCTGATTTTGTCACTGTGGTGGCCATCAGATGGGTGTTTTCCATCCATGCCTCTATAGAATAATTTCTAATACCCATCAATTCATCAGGAAGCTGCAAAATAATGGTAACTCCAGTTCTGTCATTTCCTGCTTCTGTAGAGAAACCCTTCTCTCCCCCTAACCTGTTGGTTCCTCTGAGTTCATAGACAAAAGGCAGGTTAAGTACCTGTTCTCTTCCCTTTTAGAATCTGTTCTCTACATAATGAATGGGTTCCATGGTGTTGTCTACTCACAACTGGTGAGGTTTTTTTAAATTAAAAGTATTACTATGAATGCTTGGTTTAAGCTTATTTGGTCTTTCCATCTGTTGCAGTTTTGGCCCTCGAGGTAATCACACGATTCCATCTTTGGCTAATGTAAACTTCTTTAAGACTTTAATTAAATTTTTTTCTTTCTGATGTAACAATATTTCAGGCTCTTCTTGGACATTTCTTGTCCCTGGCTTGGAATAAGCCATTTCTTGGAGGAGCCGGGATCTCTTCCTTAATACATTTAGTGAGGGATTGTTAGGAAAGTCTAGTGCTATGGAGTGATCATTGTTTCTAGGTCTTTTCAGTGAATGAGCTAGGAAATGTGTATATTTTTAAATATTAAAAGCATAATGTGTTAGGCCAAATGATGGTTGCTCATACCTGTAATTCTAGCTACTCAAGAGGCTGAGATCTGAGGTTCACAATTGGAAGCCAGACTAGAGAGAAAAAGGTCATTGAGACTATTTATCTCCAATTAGCCATTAAAAAGCCACAGCCCCAAGTAATAAAGCTCTAGCCTCGAGCAAAGGCAGTGACAAGAGCCAGGCCCTGTGTTCAAGCCACAGGACTGGCACCAAATAAATAAAGTACAGTATTGCTTGTGCCTATTCTTTTTATTTGTATTCTGGGTTTTAAATTAGTTTCATCCCATTTCCTATTCTTCCAGTCCTGGGTCTCAGTATACTTATTACAAGTCACACACTCAGCAACGTAACAACACTCACTTGTCCAGTAAGAGTATGGTTACTGAAGACGATTAAGATTGACAGGACATCTCTTGGGATCTGTTTTTTAAGGATATTTCATAGGAGGATTCTGTTAGGACACTTTACCTTCACTTGGAATAGCTCTACCCTGTGTGGTTATGCTTCCAACTTAGATGTACATTGAATTTGTTTTACTTTGGGTTTTTAGGGGTTGTGTGTTAAAATTTGATTTAGTATTAGCAATATGTATGACACATGGTTGCAAAGTCAAATCTACAAAGATCTGTGAAGTCAAATTTACTAAAGCTGCACCTTTGTTTCTTTCCTGCTCCCTCCTTCCCTCACCTTAGAAGTATCAATCTTTTAAACAAATACTGTGGGTTGTCCTTCATTGTAGGCTCCTGCGATAAGCCAGGCACCTGCTCCTTCTCCTTTCCCTAGTGTTGGTTTTCAGTAATCTTCCTCATACTCTTTGGGAACCTTTTCCAACCTCTAAAACCTAAAGTTTTATGTGGAGACACATGTATGTACCAAAACTAAGATGCAGTGAGTTAACCATACACCTGAAGTATGTTCAGCTGAAATCCCAAGTGAACCAAGTGAGCAAAAGCAGACAATATCCAGCCCTCCCAGCAGCCAGAACGAATTGTGTACATTGGGTTCTACACTTAAATGATAAGATGGCATGTGAAGTAATAAGGGCAAGGCTGGGAACCATGAATAATTAAGTGCCATCCTCTCAGCAAGCTAATTTTAGTCAAGAACCAGAAGCAAAAGTAGCAGCAGTAGGCCCCAGGTTCTGCTTCATCTCTTTGCCCCTGCAGGCCAGGGGAAGCTCTGGTCCTACATGGTGGGTCTGTCACTGCCTCCTTCAGGAATTCCTGCCTGTGATCACCTGCTGTGTGAAAGGCACTGGGTGTGGACATGGGAGCCAGTGACTTTAGGCCGCAGCAGTGCACCGTGGAATGAAAACATGATGTGTTCAAGGTGGAGTGGGAATGACAGACTTCCACAGCAGTGTGCTTGTCCAGTGAGGCTTGGGTTTGAGTGTTAGTTTGGGATTCTTGCCCATTGAGTGCACCCTCCTATTTTTTTTCTTGTTGCTCCAAGTATCCTATTATGTTGGGTAAACTGTTAATAACTGTAGAATTTGGGTAGGTACTAACCTACTCAAAGTTGGTGAAAAAGGTGGCGGCATAAGGTTAGCATTAGAAATTAAACCAATCTCAGTCCCCTCTGACCCCACCCTTCCTCCACTACTCCCGGGAGCAAAAGACTGATGCTACCTTCAGCACCTTACCTCAGCAATAGATTTGATAATGCATGCAAAAAATGTATCTTCAATATGTCTATCAAGCCTACATATGTGTGTATGTGTGTACATAGAGGATCACATTCTTTCTTCTCCTTACACATGTACATACATTTTTCACACAATCTAAATTTCTAGTGGGGGATTGACTAAATCACTACATACTTAAAAAAATGACCATATGTTTTAAAATAATTAGTGATGTTTTTCAATTAAGAAGGCAATGACAGCTTCTTTTTACTAAGATTTATAGAAATCTTAACGTTACATTTTAAAAAAATTTAAACAAATTTGTATTCTTGTGATTTTTTTTTATTGTTATAAAGGTTGGGAGGGGAAAAAGCAAAAGCAAATGAGGGCGGGGTAACTATTCAAAAAGAAATGTACTCGTTATCTGACTTATGTAACTATAATCCCTCTGTACATCACATGAAGCTTAAATTTTAAAAGGTGATCTATGGAGGGATTACAGTTACGTAAGTCGGGTAAAGTGTACATTTCTTTTTGGACAATGTTCCCCTTTCCCTTGCTCTCCCCCACTGTTACCCTCCCATCCCCACATACAAGTTCTATGATTCATTTTCAACATAATGTCTAGTAAGTACCTCTGCTGCATTTGTTCATCCTTTCAAAGTTTGCTTAGTGTTGGTTTGGTCTGGTCTGATCTTGGGTTGACTATAAAACTGGGTAGTGACTGTGCTGTGGTGGGAATGGCTGGATCATAGGGAGCCTTTTAATTCTTGGTGGCTTTTGAGGTGAAGCTTAGTGGTAAAACCCTATGATACATCCTGGAAACAATACTAATTTTATGTCTGAAAGGTTTTGCACAAGTTCTGTGAGACTGAATAAATTCAAACCTGGTACTATATGCCTCTAATCCTAGATACTCAGGAAGCTGAGATGAAACATGGTTTGAGACCAACCTGTACAAAAGTGAGATACTATCTGATGAAAATAAGTGGAGCCTGCTGGTATTTACATATACTCTCAGCAACCTACAAGGATTGGAGTTTGAAGCTGGCCAAGGAAAAAAGCATGAGACCCTGTCTGAACAATGAGCTAAAAGCAAAAGGGCTGGGAGCATGGCTCAAATGATAAGAGCACTGGTCTAGAACTGAAAGGCCTTGAGTAGGATGACAGTGTGAATGGACTAGACTAAAATAGAATAATACAAACCACCTGCTTTTGGCCAAGTTTGAGAATGTGAGATTGTTTCTCCCATCTTTATATTTACTGTTAACCTTTTAAGTTAAAGAGCTACAATTATAAAGTTTATGCCAGGTGCTGGTGGCACATGCCTAGAATCCTAGCTACTCAGGAGGCTGAGATCTGAAGATTGAAGTTCAAAGCTAGCCAGACAGGAAAGAACGTGAGACTCTTATCTCAGTTAACCAAGTCACTCTACCACTGTGACTCAAGTGGTAGAGATCTAGCCTTGAGCAGAAAACTCAGAGATAGTGAGCAGGCCCTGAGTTCAAGGCCCAGACAGGCACGCACACATACACACACACATACATGCATACACAGCGTTTACTAGGGCAGTCCTTGTTCTGATTTGACCTGTGTTCTGCTTTGCTTTGAAGAATCAGGGGCAGCTACAGAAAAAAAAATGAACCATCTTGTTTCTTTAACTTTTTTTCTTATAGTAATTTAATCCCCCCATGACCTAATTAATAGGATTATGTTTAAAATAAAAGTTTATAATTAAAATGATTTTCTTTCCTTAACAGAAATCATAGCCCTTTAATGAGTTTTGGAGCCAGCTTTGTCAGTTTTTTGGTAAGTATATTTCAAAAGAGAAGAAAATACCTGTTACTGTTTACCAGCTGTTATAAGCACATTATTGTAGAAAAAAATCGTTTGGTGTTCAGAATTGAAGTTTTTACCCCATTAACCAGTGCTAGGAGATAAAACTCTTTTTCTGAACTTTACAAATAAGATAATTACATGTTATCTTTTTGGAATAAAAATGACTGCAAGAAGTTTAAAAAGTTAAAACTGCAATACACTATGTGGAAAATGAACTATGCAACTTGTGGTCAGGGACAGGAGGGGGAAACTGGGAGATGGTGAAGAAAGAGGTGATATTGTCCAAAAAGAATTATACTTCCTATATGGCTTCTGAAATAGCAATCCCTCTGTGCAACATCTTAATAATAACAGTAAAATTATATTTAAAAAACTATCGTTAATCAAGGCTTGCTTGAAAGTTACTAAGAAACTGTATCTAGAAGACAAGTCAAGCCAAGCCAAAGTTAGTTGGTTAGTATTTCATTTCCAAATACTAGTGTTTGACCATTGAGGGCCAAGTTTAGTTGTATTTTAAAGTCAAGTAGAAATGTAGAAAATTGCATGCGTTCATTTTCCAGAAGCACTTATCTTACATCATTTAAAAATTGATTGTAGAAATAAACAATGGGAAAAAATTATTGAGTAGAGGCTGAAAGGGAAAAAGCATTTATATTAATATTTAGGACAAAACCAATCAATGAACATGTTGTGCCCAGCCTAGCACCGGGGTGACCTGAAGTGTGAGGGGTTTTCATTGAAGCTGCTTATTTCTTCTTCAGATAAGGCAACAAAAATTTTAAGGCCCACTTCCCCCCCCCAACATTGTGTATAGTTCCATATAACAGGAAAAATGGTTCTTGGTAAGGCTTTATAACACTAAGACCCAAATGACTGCTGTCTCAGGAGGACAGACTAAAGGTGTCTGGTAGTCAGGAAGGGTAGAAAGAGAGGTTATGGAAGGGTTGAGATTTCAAGAAACCTCATTTGTACTAGGTACAACTCACAGATGCTCAGGTGACATTTAAGGATGTCTACCCAACTACCAGGACAAAAGCTGCCAGGATCCAGTGCCTAGAAACAAGATGTTAGTGGAATTTTTAATTTTGGACAATAGGAATTGAGTCCCATAGAAGTAATCACACGTGAGAAGAGTCGTGGTTTTCCTGGAGCCCCTATACTAGCAATACTTGATGGAGCCAGAATTCTACCTATGGGTGAACTATTATTTAAAACTGAATGAAGCAGACCTATCAGAATTGATGCAGAATTTTTATTAGTAACCTTAATAGTAACAAAACAGCATACAACACTTGTTACTGTGTTTTTACTTGCTGATATAATTGAAATATATTCTTGTTTCATATTGAGATGGTAATTTCTTTGAGTCTACTGTAACTGATGCTTTTGACTTTCAACCCACCATTGAAGTTACTTTCTAGTTGGGTATTTTGTTGCAATTAATTGGTCAAAGGTTTCAGTCACTTACCAGTTCATTCATGTTTTCCTTGTTTCTTGGAAGAATGCCATGATGACATTTGAAGAAGAAAAAATGCAGTTGGCATGTGATGACTTAAAAACTACAGAGAAGCTGTGTGAAAGTGAAGAGGCTGGAGTCATTGAAACAATCAAGAACAAGATTAAGAAGAATGTAAGTAGCTTGGCCTTGGACTTCCTGTGCCACTGCCTCACAACACCATTCGTTAGCTTGGCTTTTGGTATGTAGAGTATTACATGGCAGTAAGGTTTGTATTTCCTTATTAGCTCTAAGCCGATTTACAAGTCTGTCTGCAGCTTCTACTACTGCACCAGGCACAGAAGTTAATGATTATTTGAAATGGTCCCTGTAATTTATAAAGTAATTTCAAATGCAAGACCTCATTAGCCCCCTTGACAATCAGTACCATGGCTGTTTCTATACTAAAGAAACAGAATCATAAATAGACATTTCATATGAACTAACAGGGAAGTGATTTTAGGGCCAGACATGGATCAACAGTAACCATAATGGTTAAATGAAATCAAGAGAGTGAAATGTCTTACTCTACCATGTGTACTGTGTCTACGCTTAGCATATTTGCAAAAGTCATACCATTCCTTATTGTGAAAGCTATTTAACTTCTTTCATTTAAGTTTACTTTGTAATAAGAATGCAATGCCCAGTTGTGATGGGGCGTTCCTATTATTCCAGCATACATTAGGCATGGATGAGATTGAGAGTTTAAGGTCCAGTCTGCAAACAAGGCCCTATCTTAAAAGCAAAACAAGTGGTTCAAATGGTACAGTCCCTGTCTAGCAAGTGTGAGGCCATGAGTTCAAACCCCAGTATGCCACTAGAACAAACAACCAAAGAGGCAATAAAAAATGCAGTGCTCTCTGCCAAAGTGATTTTTTTATTCATCTGGAAAACATTCTTCATGAAAGGCCAACATTTTTTCAAGATGATGATCATGACTTTCTGCTTATTGATATGAGTTAAATGTCAAGTACGGGTTGTGATTTATTCAAGGGTAAAGTTTAATTCCAAGGCATTTTCTCTTTAGTGTATATGTCTTCAGTTTACAGCTCCAACTTCTCCGTCACATGCATGAAAGCATGCTCATAACATGCCTGAAGAACACCAGCAGTTCAGCCGCTTCTCAGGCCTGCTAAAGAATATATTGTATCTTTGATGACTTTGACTCTGGATCAATAAGAACTCAATTATCTATAAATCTCTATTAAAGTTTATGTTGCCCATACCTTCAGTTTTATTAGAGTATTGTCTTTGAATGATAGTGTCTTTAAGCATTGTACTGTCAGTCAACCTAGAACTGAAGAGAATATGGCTACTCAGCTTGTAGGTAAGTTTGATCTTGGCATTCATTGACTGCCACATATCCCATGTCCTGTGGGAAACTATTTTGTATCATGAAGCAGTATCATTTGGAGGGTGTGTACATATTGGTATAATATTTGCTTCCTACTACACAGGTTGATGCTCGAAAATCTGCCCCCTCTATGGTTGACCGACTGCAGAGGCAGATCATCATAGCTGACTGTCAAGTTTACCTGGCTGTGCTGTCATTTGTAAAACAAGAATTGTCAGGTATGCCAGAGTGTTATTTTTAGTAACATTTGCCATTCAGTGGACACATCACTAACAGGATTTTTCCCCCTTTTTCAAAAAAGTTCTCATGTGGTGGTACCAATTTGGGGAATTATACTAATTTTATAACTTGGAAAACTGAAACATCAAGAGCTTAGTGTATTTTGCAAAGTAGTTGTCTCACGCCTGTCTTTAACCTTCTTGTCTCAAGATAATAATTCTGTTTTACATAGAAAATTACTAGTGCTTTTTATATGTAGGTAGATGTATCATACTTTTTCTTTGAGAATCAACTTTTTTTTCTGGGGGGGTCTGGTCATGGGGCCTGAACTCTGGGCCTGGGTGCTGTCCCTCAGCTCTTCAGCTCAAGGCTAGTGCTCTACCACTTGAGCCACAGCGCCACTTCTGGCTTTTTTCTTTTTGCTTATGTGGTGCTGAGGAATTGACCCCGGGCCTCATGCACGCAAGGCAAGCACTCTATCACTGAACCACCTTCCCAGCTCCGAGAATCAACTTTTGATAGTCATCTTCAAAGTGAAGTCCAAGTGGCTGAAGTTTAAGCTTTTCAGGAAATCGTTCCAAAAGTGGTACGTGCCTTCAATATGTGTTTCCAAAATATATTAGGAAATCATTTAAGATGATTAACTATTTCTTAGTGGACTTGTATGACTGGCACTGGAACAACCTTTAGAGAAGAATGTCAACTAATTGTCCTAGGAGTTTTCCAGGCTCTCATAGCTTTCATTACTTGAGTGAAACAGACACTAAATCTGAGCTGAAGAGAGTAAGAACATGTCTAGAATCTGCCCGATGTGTCCCCATGTGGCTCTTGTGTCTCAGCCTACCACTTCACTAGACAGGATTTACTTGGAAAAAGTAAAAAGAAAATTCAGAGTAGCAATCAGTCAATTTTAATTCAAAAAAGCATTTTCTCCAAATAGTAAGTGAAGATGGTTATATATCTGCTAAATAAGAACTAGTTCTTTTTTTCCCCTCCCTCCCTCCCTCTCTTTTCTTTTTTCTTCTTTCCTCTTTCTTTCTCTGTTCTCATTCTGGGGCTTGAACTCAGGGCCTAGACACTGTTCCTGAGTTTTTTCACTCAAGGCTGGTGCTCTACCACTTGAGCCAGGGCTCCATTCTGGCTTTTTGGTGGTTAATTTGAGGTAAGAGTCTCACAGACTTCCCTGCCCAAGCTGGGTTTGAACCACAGTCCTCAGCCTCCTGAGGAGCTCGTATTATAAGAGTGAGCCACGGTGCTCAGCCTATCTCCCTTCCTCCTCTACCTCCCTCTTATAGTCTTCTCCCTCTCTGACTCGTACTTGAGATATGCTTTGTTTTTATTTCAAGTCAAAAGTAGAAACCTCATTTTGACCTCCTTATGTATTTTTAATTTTTTTGGTGGTATTGAAGTTTGAATGCAGGGCCTGTGCTTGCTAGGCAGACATTCTACCACTTGAACTTTTTTGCTTTCAGTTATTTTTCAGATACAGTCTCCCGCTTTTGCCTAAGGCTGATCTTGAATCTCTTACGTCTCACACGTAGCTGGGATTGTGTATGTGATCCAACTCAGGGGTTTCACTAATTTTTTGCTCTAGCAATCTTTCTCATCTCTACCTTCCAGTAGCTGGAATTGTAGACATGTGCCACCACACTTGACCTCCTCCTTTTTTTTGGCCTAGTATAAACACTTTATTTTGATTGTTTTTTTCAGAGCGTGTATTGACCATTATGCTAGGTCTATTTCTTTTTTAAGAATATTTTTGTATCTTTAAGTAGTTGTACACAGGTGGAATGGTGATTCCACAAAGTTGTATCTGACGACAATGCATCTTGAGCACACTGCTTTCAACATTCTCACTTCCCCATCCCAATTCACCCCTACCCTTACTTTCACATTGAACTTTTACTTCATTCTCCCCTGCCTTCTTTCCTTCATTCGTCTTCCCCTCTACCATTAACCCCATCCCACTTTTTTCAAGTACCCATTTCCTGGTATTTATTTTGTTGGACTTTGACTTTTCTAAGGAATTACGTTGTTTTTCCCTGAATCTACTGTGTTTTACTTAATACATTTGTATATAATTGCATACCACCGAAAGCATTTATATATTTATAAACGAATTCTAGCTTCCACCTAGGGGGAAAAACATGTAAACTTTGTCTCTTTGAACCTAACAATGTAATTTTTGGCCCCTATTCTTCTAAAATATGTCCCGTGATGTACCTATATCATTTTCTCTCGTTAATTGCTTTCCTTTAACCTTTTTATTACCATCTCCATACCTGACGTACATGATTGAGAGCTCCTGGTGCTGTGCATTCCCTGTAATGGAATGGTGAGAAATCCCTGATTGGAGCTCACTCTACCTCTGTGTAAGCTTTGGAGAAGCTAGGCAAGCTGAGCTAAGCACAGAAGACACAGCTCTTGGGTCAAGACAGGAGCTCTGGGTAGTCTGTGATTTTTTCTTTTAAGGCAACCTTTTCTTGGTGCTCAAAGACTCTTGCGAGAAGCTAATTTTAGCTGCTAAGAAAACATTGAGAGAAAAGTCTAGCAGGATGTGATGGCATATGTGAATCTCAGCTACGTGGAAGGCTGAGGCAGAAGGATCCCTTGAGCCCAGGCATTCAAGGCCAGCCTGCACAATGTAGGGAGACCCCTTTCCCTATTTTCATTATTTTATATTTTGTGCTGGTACTGGAATTCAAACTCAGTGCTTGGGTGCTGTCCTTTGGTTCAACTCTTGGGCCACAACTTGACTACTGGCTTTTTGGTGGTTAATTGGAAATAAGAGTCTCAGTCTTCCCTGTCCAGGCTAGTTTTAACCTTGATCGTCATATTTCAACCTTCTGAGTAGCTAGGATTACAAGTATGACCAACCAATGCTGGGTTCATTTTATTTTTTTTTAAGGAGAGGATAAAGCAAATGTAGGGAAATGTTTAAGTATATTAAAAGTTTCTAAAAATGAATCAGGCACCAGTGGCTCACAATTTCTAATCTTAGCTACTCAGGAGACTGAGATCTGAGGATCATAGTTCGGAGCCAGTGGGCAGGAAAGTTTGTGAGACTCCTCTCTCCAGTTAACCATCAGAAAGCCAGAAGTGAAGCTGTGTTTCAAGTTTTAGAGTGCTAGCCTTGATCAGAAAGGTACAGAGATCATGCCCAGGCCCTGAGTTCAAGCCCCAGGACTTACATGTGTGTGTGTGCAACACCTACACACACTTTTAAAAAAGGAGTGTATGTGTCTTTATTCATTCACTGATTTACTTAATAATTACAGAGTGTACACTGTTGCACATTGTCAGGGAAGCAAACAAAGGCTGCATGAAGTGTTGAGTCATCAGACTTCTAAATCATTAAATATTTTAAATTTTATTAAATTATGTAATTTATTAAATTATATTTTATAAATAGATATTTTGTAATATATTGTAAATCATTAAATATTCTGGAAAATTTGGGGAAGATCAAGAAGGCCATAATAAAGCAAATTATTGGGCATAATCATGCTTTATTATGAATAATTTATGTGTTTCTCTTGTTTACTCTTGGCAGTACTAGGGTGAAACTCATTGCCTTGAGCCTCCTGTACTGGTTCTTTTTTTTGGGGGGGGTCCAGTCGTGGGGCCTGAACTCTGGGCCTGGGCGCTGACCCTCAGCTCTTCAGCTCAAGGCTAGCACTCTACCACTTGAGCCAAAGCACCACTTCTGGCTTTTTTCTTTTTGCTTATGTGGTGCTGAGGAATCGAACCCAGGGCCTCAGGCATACAAGGCAAGCACTCTACCACTGAGCCACCTTCCCAGCCCTGCACTGGTTCTTTTTGAGATAAGGTCTTGCTTCCTGCATATCTGAGCCTCAGTCTGCCTACTTTAGGCTAGTGGCTGTGATCACAGGCATGTGCCATTGTGTCTTGCTTCCCTTTCTGGAGATGGAGTCTTGTAGAGTTTTCTTTCCAGAAATGCCCTGGAATGTCAGTCCTCTCAGTCTCAGCCTCCCATGGAGTTCAGAAAAGCAGGCACAGGCTACTGTGTCCAGCCCTGGATTGAGAAGGGGGTCTCAGTTTTCTGCCTGGGCTGATCTTGAACTTTGATCTTTCTGGTCTCAGCCTCTCTACAATACTAGCTTCTTCTAGGCTTGAGACACTGGTGCCTGGCATTCAGCCTATTTTAATTTTAACTAATATTTTATGTTGCTGGATTTGAACCCATGATTTCGTGTTTACTAAATAGGTGCTATACTATAGCTCTGTTTAATAATAATAATAATAGTTGGTTGATCTATTTTTGCCAGTTTTGGGCTTGAACTCAGGGTCTAGGCACTGTCCCTAAGCTTCTTTTGCTCAAGGCCTGGTGCTCCACCATTTGAGTCACAGGTCCACTTCCTTGTTGTGTTTTGTTTTTACCATCAACACGCTTTTTCAGTCTGCCTTTGTGGCCTTTGCCTTCTCACAGTTTGATGTTAAGCAGTTATTTAATTTTGTTACTTGTGGATGTCTTGAAACATTCTGGTTTTTGTTTCATGAAGCCCTGTAATGACCGAATGTGGTGAAGACATGAAAGTGAAATTCTTGTAGACATAAATAAATGTCTCCTCAAGTTTGTGTCATGGCAGTTTGCTTTAAGAACAGCACCATATTTGTTTCAAGTGAACAAAAACAGCCAACAATATGCCTCATTTACCTTTCAGGCACCCAGTGGTTGTTAAACTATGAAGAATTCATTTATGCTTATAAATCTCAGATATATGGAAAGCATAGATTAGGAAGAATGCAGTCCTGGGGCTGTCCCCAGGCAAACATCATGAGACCTACCTAAACAAAAAAACAACCTAAATCACAAACGCCTGGGAGCATGGCTCAAGCCTAACAAGCACAGGGCCTTGAGTTCAAGCCTCACTGCTGCCAAAAAGAAAAAGAATGGAAGTCTGTTTCCTTTTTTGTGTCACTGCGCCTTGATTTGGTGTCTCTTCCTTGCACGTGGTGGGTGTGTAGATTTTGTGAATTAAAAGGAGGACTGAAGGAAAGATGATACCATTCAGGAAAGGAAGAAATTGAAGTGGAACAGAAAACCTATTACAAGTCTGCTGACTGGGGGCTGATGGTAGAAACTGAATCATCTTTTGTCTTTCATCCTCTGTCACAAGAAAGGCAAGCCTGAGCTGACCTCTCTGATGTAGGATTAACCAGGCCTTACAGCCAGACAGGTTAATGGGTATATTGCTATGTCACATGCTGCCATAGATACAAATGACAAAATTCATTTCAAGGTAATTTTTTGTGTAACTGGATACCTTCATACTAGAACATGAGCATCCTTCTTAGAAAGGACTTCCACTCACATATGAATGGGGATCCCTGTCTTCCTTCCATCTCCCTGTAGGTTAATGGCTGGCCCTAATAAGATAGGGCAAACGGCCTTTGATTTCCTGCTTTCTCCACCCTTCTGTATGGGCAGAGAGAGAACTATATGGTGGGATGATTTACATCTGACCTTCTAGAGGTGCAGCAGAGGGGCCTACAGTGCACAGCTCTTGGTTACTGTGTTCTCTGTGTGTTGGGAAGATGCACACTCTTTGCAGACATTGCTGGGCTGGATTGACTTGGCACTGTACCTGCAGAGCTGTGTTGAGTTGAGCAGGCCAATTCATGTGACCCCCCACCTTGGAGGGGGTCATAGTAATTGGGAAAGGGAGTACAGCAAGTCCAGCCTCATGGCATTCTTCCTAGTGGTAAATGTAGAAAGGCACTTGAAGAGGGCACTTCAGCACACAGAAAGTTCTACACAGAAAGCCTCTTCCTTCAAATGTGGTGATGATGTGTTAAATGATCATAGATGTATTGTTCACAGAAGAAAGGCCAGCAGCCGGATGTGGAAGGCTAGGAGGAGGATGCTAAATCCCATGTCTTCTTATCCTTGAAGTCTTTTTTGTGGTCTGTGTTTCCAAGAGGGATCTACCAAGAAAAACTGACTTAATGGGCAAATAGTAGAAGTGATTTACAAAAGCAAAACAAAACAGGGTAGCTGAGCACCAATGGCTCACGCCTGTAATCCTAGCTACTCAGGAGGCTCAGATCTGAGGATCGCGGTTCAAAGCCAGCCCGGGCAGGAAACTCTGTGAGATTCTTATCTCCAATAAACCACTAGAAAACTGGAAGTGGTGCTGTGGCTCAAGTGGTAGAGCGCTCACCTTGAACTGAAGAGCTGAAGGACAGCGCCCAAGCCCAGAGTTCAAGACCCATGACTGACAAAAACAAAAAACAGGGTTGGAGTAACTTGTTCTTTGCCTTCTCTTTACCCTGGCTGTCTATAATAGAGGGCAATAAGTGAGCAGCCTAAACAGGGCTATCCCAACCAGGTGTGGATAAACCATCCACTTGACACCAGACATAGGTACTTTAGATTCTTTGTATTTTTGCACTTAGCATGAATGATTGTTTTGATAATAAATTGGCCATTGCTTACCAAGTCAAAATGAAGTTGTCCTCTTTATTTTCTTGTATTAGTTTTTGGCAGGTTGCCTTACTTGGTGGTTGGGAATAAACTAAGCATTGGAAAATTTTCTCTGGAGGACTAAAAATACAGGGGAGACAAATGTGAGAGTTACTTTTTTTTAAGGTGGTGGTAGAGGGATTTTCAGAAAAACATTTGGACTTATGCATTCCTTCTCCTTCCTCCCTATATTGTATGCCAGGCCCCACCTACTGCATAGGAGATTTGCTACAGTGACCGATAACAAAAGCCCATGTGCTTCTTGTCAAATGGTCATAACTATAGAGAAAGGCCATCAGCAACAAAGAAAATTAAGCACAATGAAGAAAGCAGATTTCAGTGATAGCAAATAATGTTGATATTTTGTTTTTTTCCCTTGCTGTTCCGATTGTTTTCTAATATTTTCTATTACTCAAATACAAAGACTTTGAAATCCTGTTCTTGACTACTTCTCTCCCTTCTCTTCCTAGCATACATAAAAGGTGGGTGGATTCTCAGGAAAGCCTGGAAGATTTACAATAAGTGCTATGTGGACATCAACACCCTTCAGGAACTGTATCAGAAGAAGTTAACTGAAGAGCCCTTGACTTCTGATGCTGCAAATGATAATCACATTGCGGCTGAAGGGGTGACTGAGGAGTCCCTAAACAGACTGAAAGGTGCTGTTAGCTTTGGATATGGCCTTTTTCATCTTTGCATATCCATGGTGCCCCCAAACCTGCTCAAAATCATCAACCTGCTGGGGTTTCCTGGAGACCGCCTACAGGGGCTTTCTTCACTGACGTATGCGAGCGAAAGTAAGGACATGAAGGCCCCTTTAGCTACGTGAGTAGCTATATTGCAATGCTTTGGTAGCTAATATAGTGTTGAAAGTAAGTAAACAACAATCAGATTTTAAAGGAAGCTTTGGGAAAACGCTTGGTTAGCTGGCACCATGCTGTGCCTTTAATGAAACACCAAGGACTGTGTTCTGTGGTGGGGGAGGGAGTTACAAGCTGACTTTAATCAGAGAACAAGGCACTGTGCGTTAAGACTTACAAGTCCTGTATTTTAAACAGGTAAAACTAGTGGTTTTATACGCAGTTTTGTGACTTTGACCACAGTCCACAAGATGCATGGTCTTGATTCTTAGACTTATAGAAATTTGATAAGCTTGCTCTGTGGTTCTGATTTTTATTCCTATAAAGAATCCCCATGTCGGATAATTTTCCTGGATTGTATTTGGGTGTATGTGACTTGGCTGTCTCATACTAGTACACTGTCTAGAGTCATGATGCCAGGTTCAGTGTAAACTTAAGTGAGAGTTATTTAACTAGATGAGTGTAATGAAACTGGTGTAATGCTTCAGAACAGGAGCTCACCTATTTGGACATCAGTTCATAAACTCACCTATTTGCCCATCAGTCAAAGTGAAGCAATTTTTTAAAAATTCAGACTGAAAAATATCTACCATTTGTGATTTATCAGACACCAATAGTCTTTGTCTAACACCACTTGTAAAGTTTTCTGAAAAAACTTTCCTGTTACAGAGGCCTTTATGAGATACACTTCTATGCCTGTTAGTATTGAGGAGTTTGGATATTCTTAATCAGTAAACAGTTACATAAAAATCATTAAATTTCATTTGGAAAATATTTTTGCCTCTACTCATTAAATTAATACCAACAGTGGTCCTTTATTTTGCATTAATAGATTCATTTTCTGTTTGTATCAATATTTTGTGCTTGCCTCTAATAAAGGAATGAATGGGAATTAATATGTAAATTAGTTCGATCTTTGTAAAAGAATCAAATTTTACACTAGACATATACATTTATAGAAAAGTATTGACATGCTGGCTAAACAGTTTTGTCTGTTCATTAAAACAGATCTCAACGACTTTGCTCTGTTTACCTAAGTTAACCATGACATTTTCCTTCCATGACTTTCAAGTAAAGAAATTTTAAATAACATTTATTTTGTTTGTTTCTGGGCCCATACTGGGGCTTGAACTCAGAGCCTTGTGTTCTCACTTGGCTTTCTCACTCAAGGCTGGTTTCTACCACTTGAGTTACACTTTTTTGTTTGTTTTTGTTGTTGTTGTTGTTTTGTCAGTTGTGGGACTTGAACTCAGGGCCTTGGCCCTGTTGCTAAGCTCAAGGTTAATGCTCTTCCACTTTGAGCCACAACTCTACTTCCATCTTTTGAGTGGTTAATCAGAAAGAAGAGTCACATGGGGGATTTTTCTGCCCAGGCTGGCTTTGAACAACAATCCTCAGACCTCAGCCTCCTGAGAAGCTAGGATTTCAGGTGTGAGCCCCTGGCCCCTCGCTGTTTATGAAGTTGAGCATCTTCCCAAGGCTAGAGAAAATGCTCCTAGTATGTTCTGTTAATTTATCTTAACTTGGTTTCATATACTTTATGGCTGTGTATTTCATATTTAAATTTGGCTTTTGTGAATACATGAGAAAGCCACATTTTTGTTTTGTAGAAAGTGAAGTGAAGGCTTTTATTATGAGGGGGCCAATCAATTTACAGTGACTTGTTACTGTTCCTAATTTGTGCACTGGTGGCTGAAGTGTATTACCATCAGGCACGTTCCCAGCAGTCCATCTAGAAAGCTAGATGCCTCTTCTCTGATGGAAACATGTTGATTTATTCCTTGTGCTGAAGTAGCAGTTTTCAGCATTTACACAATTAATGCAGGGAAACACGCTCTGACTTGATTTCTTTGAAGCCTGCATAATAAGGTTTCTGGAAAGAATGTGTAGTGGAATGGCACATAGGAACAACCCCTGGAATTCAACGGCTCTGTGTCTCTCTCTTCCTGCAGGTTAGCTCTACTCTGGTATCATACCGTTGTCCGCCCATTTTTTGCCTTGGATGGTAGTGATAACAAAGCAGGGCTTGATGAAGCTAAGGAAATTCTTCTCAAGAAAGAGGCTGCTTATCCAAATTCTTCCCTCTTTATGTTTTTCAAGGGACGGATCCAGCGATTAGAGGTAAGGCAACTTCCTGAACCTTCTTTTTTTCTTCCTCAAGTCAAGCCTGTGATGATCAAATCTCTCCTGGGGGTTTGGGGGCTAGTGTTGATGAGCCAGTGTCATGCTCCTGAACACTCTGTCCTTGTGCCTGTCCTTGTATCATTGCTGAAGAAGGCTCTTCCAGGAAGCCAGGATGTTAGTCAGTTACCTTCTGTTCAGGGACGTGGGCGAAGCTGGGTGAGAGTCTTCATTCAGAATGAAAATAATTGGCGTACTTACAGCTTAAGGCATGAGAGCATTCCGAACGAAAGCTCTTAGATGAAGAACAAAAATACAGCTTACCCTTCTTTAAGTTGCTAATAATCACTAAATCTTGTTCTTAGCTTGCAGCTGATTCATACAAAAGTTGTTATAAATGTCAGGACAGCATCAGCTTCAAAATAATAGTAGCTTTTTTCTATCTGTGTTTGCATGTATTTAGTTTGGCTAGATAATGTGCAATAATTTTACACATATAATCCCACTTGATCCTTAGGCATAGATATAAAATGGTCTCCTATCAGGTGCCAGTGGCTCACACCTGTAATCCTAGTTGCTCAGGAGGCTGAGATCTGAGGATCACAGTTCGAAGCCAGCCCAGGCGGGAAAGCCTGTGAGACTCTAATCTCCACTAAACTAACAACAACAACAAAAAAGTCAGAAGTAGAGCTGTGACTCAAGTAGTAGAGAGCTAGCTTTGAGCAAAAGAATCTCAGGGGGATAGCACGTAGGCCCTGAGTTCAAATCCCAGGACCAGCTCACACACACACAAAGGTCTCCTACAGAGTGTAGGAAAAAACCCCAAAACATCCATGCACTGGTGGGTCAGGCTTATATCCCTACCTACTTGGGAGGCTATGATTGTTGGGATGGCAGTTTAAGAACAGCCTAGCCAGTAAAAATTTTGGGTGACCCTTTTCAACGAAGATTACAGGCAAGAGCCCTAGCACCTGTAATCCTAGCTACTGGGAAGTCTAACATAGGTGTATCTTACCCATGCATGCACATAGGCAGGAAACTAGACCTTATCTCAAAATAACAGAAAAATATCAGGGCTGGAGAAATGGGTCAGTGGTAAGAGCACCTGCTTGGGAAGCACCAAAGCCCTGAGTTCAAATCTCATACTGACTAAAGAAAACAGGGCTTTGAGAGTGCTTCTAATAAATTCCTGAGCCATCTCAACCATGAGCTCAGCCTCCCCATTCCAAAACAAGACCATGCCCTGGTCCATAGAGACTCACTTATTCCTTATATCTTTTCACCTGCTTGCTCAGAGGGACAAGGATGTGTAAGAAAATGAAAAGAGAAGAGAGAAATCATACACATGAAAGAAGGTAGCTATGAGGCCATGTATTTTCTTCTCAGTAGTTGTCAGTGAAGCACTTTAAGGCCTTAACATAATATAGCCCCCAATTAACCAAGCACTCTGCCTGGAGTCAGCCCCCTCTCCCCCCAAAAACCTCCAAGAGTTCTTGAAATATTGCCATAATGCTTTTATGGGCCATGGTAGGGCAGGGTGTCTGTATTCTCTAATCATTTATTTTTCCTTCATAAATGGGAACTTAAAATATGAAGACTTCCCAGCTATTGTATACCTCTAAAATATGTAAATCTTGCTATTATATATACCTCTAAAATATGTAAATGTGAAGATTTAGAGTTTAAACTGATAAGTTTATAAGTAAAATACAGTTCATTTAGTTCATTGGGATCTGATCAAGTTATTTTTTTCAGCCTGAACTGTTTTCTTTTTCCTTGGACTCATGAGAATTTGGTTGCATTTCTTCCTTTTTTCCTGTTGCTTTTACATATACAGATCTGATCATTATTTGTTCAGTCAGGTCTTGACCCTACTTGTAAGAAAAGATGTTCAGAGGTCAAAGTGTCACTCCTATCTTGGGTTTGTGCAGTAGGAAATAAATCTGAAATGTAAGTTGGTACAGGATAAGTGATTCCTTCCTTCCTTCCTTCCTTCCTTCCTTCCTTCCTTCCTTCCTTCCTTCCTTCCTTCCTTTTTTTGTGGTCAGTCATGGGGCCTGAACTCTGGACCTGTGCGCTGTCGCTCAGCTCTTCAGCTCAAGACTAGAACTCTACCACTTGGGCCACAGCACCACTTCTGGCTTTTTCTGCTTATGTGGTGCTGAGGAATCAACCCCAGAGCCTCATGCATGCAAGGCAAGCACTCTACCACTGAGCCACCTTCCCAGCCCAGGATAAGTCATTTCTTAGATTTAATTAACTTTCTTAAAGGGCAAGTGTTGCATGTCAGATATTTCTGAACATTATGATACAGGTGATGCCCACATCCCCAATCTAGAATCTGAGATATTCTAAAATGTGAAACTTTTTTAGTACCACCGTGATGCCAGAAGCATCAAATTCCATACCTTACTTCATAGGATGGGTTGTAGTCAAGCCACAGATGCTGTAAAATATTGTTTAGAATTATCTTTGGACAAGCCAGGCACCAGTGGCTCGTACCTGTAATCCTAGCTACTCGGGAGGCTGAGATCTGAGGATCTCGGTTCAAAGCCAGCCCAGGCAGGAAAGTCTGTGGCACTATGGTTCAAAGTGGTAGAACAGGCACTAACCCTGAGTGACAAAAGCTCAGGGACAGTGCTTAGGCCCTGAGTTCATGTCTTACAACCTACCCCCCAAAAATTACCTTTGTATCATGATTAGATTTGGGTTCTGTTCCAGGATATCTCACTATAGATATAGGTCAGTATTCCCAAATCTGATTTTAAAAAAACCCAAAATTCAAAATATATTTGGCCCTAAACACTTCAGAAAGGAATACTTAGTCTGTATTAGGTTTAGAGTTCAGTAGCAATGGGCTACTGAACACCTGAACACCTGAAATTTAATATTGCATATAGCCCAGCCACAAGGTACCAGTGTCATTAGAATTCTCATCCCTGCCTTCCTTGATGATTGAATGTGTGCTCTAAATTGTTTTGAAACTGTTGAACAGAAATAGAAAAGTCAGATTTATAGTTTGTTATGCTTGACACTAAGTTTTTCTTCTTAAAATGAAAATACTAGATTCACTAAAACCTTCTCCCCCTCTCCTCAAAAAGGGAAAACCTTGGGTAAATCTTAAGGATCAAAGTAATGCTAAATGTAAGTGGTCATATGTGATTGGATGCTTCTAGAAATAAGGGAGCAATAACTCTACAAAAGGTTCTTCTAAAGATGGCTTTTGGAAGTGCAAAGTCCTCACTGCCCAGTGGATTTTTGTTGTTAGAGTGTAGATGGTGGGTGGTAGACCATTCATGGTGCAGCTTCTTGCTTCCTTCCCTGGTATTTGGTGTGAAGAGAAAGTATATAAGAGCTGTTGTTTTTCTTATTTAGTTGTTATCTTGTAGCCAAGTAGATTGTTGTGTGTTTTGTTTTGCTTTGCTTTGTTGTTGTTCCTGGAGCTTAAACTCAGGGTCTGGGCACTGTCCCTGACATTTTTGTTCAAGGTTAACACTATACCACTTGAGCCACACCTGTACTTCTGGCTTTTGGGGGGTTAATTGGACATAAGAATCTCCAGTATTTGTCTTTTCCTGGCTGGCTTTGAACCACGCTCCTCAGATCTTAGCCTCCTAAGTAGCTAAGATTACAGGCATGAGCCACTGTGATACAGCTAATGAGGAGTGATTTTGTTTGGTTCTTTGCAAAGGCTCAGAGGATGAAAGACTCTTAGGGCTTTCTTGAAATAGGATTGTTGCTGTCTGCAAAGTGTCCAAACACTGTGCATTTCATGAATCCCCCAGGCACTGCACTTGCCAGAGTTGGGATGGAGACACCTGCAGAAGCCCCAAGTCTTCATGGGAGGTCCAGGCTCAGTCATTGACTTGCTTACAGAACAGCTGTTTCCTTCTCAGTGTGCATTTATCTAGTGAACGTACGAGCCTTTAAGATCCTTTTATAGATACTCATGGCACATGGTTTTGACTTGGTTTTGACAGATTTTCTTCAGTTTTAGTCCACTTTGTAATATATACATATATGTATGTATGTGTATATGTATTTGGTTCTATGTATATATGTTTCACACCTTATATAATATGTCTAGCAAATGTAACTAATTTTTTAGTATTAACTTATTTAATCTTTGAATGTTCTACTATTCGAATGAGTAAGAGCATATATATATATATATGAGTATATATGTATATATAAATGAAAGTACTTAATGAGGTTGCTATTATGCAAACATTTTGAGGACTCTTATTTTGAAACTGTCTCCTGAGCTTGAGCCCTTATTTTGTGAGTATTCTATGTACTTGACATTTTAAAACCTTGTGATTTGGTTTGGAAACAGAGGTCTAAGCCCAGCCCAGAAATGACCTGCTCTGTATATTTGCTAAACAAATAAGTCATCTCTTGGCAGCAGATCTGTTGCACTCTGAATATTGTCATTGCTAACTGGGAGTGTTACTTCTTTAAGAAGAGAAGTTGGTTGAGAGAGAGAGAGAATAATTTTTCTTAGTACTAAGGATTGAACTTAGGCCCTTAGGCGTGGACAGACAAATGCTCTATTACTTCAGCTATGATCCCAGCTCAGAAAATGTCTTGACCCTTGGGATAAGAAGACTACCTTTTCTGGAGGTCCTGAATCAGATACAGTGCTCTGTCAGCAACTGTTGGAGGTTAGTTCTGGAACCTTTTCAGGTACCAAAACCTAAGATTGCTCCAGGCCTCTATACAGGGTAGGTAGGAGTAAAATGAGTCAAAGGGTAAAAAGTTTGACAAGAAATGTACTTATTACCTTATTATGTAACTGTAACCCTTGTATGTAACATCACCTTGACAATAAAAAGAGAAAAAGATCTGTATCCACACCTTCTCAGATATAATTTAAGTAATCTCTATTAATCTCTAGATTACTTATATTACCTAACTTAAGTGCTATGTAAATGGGGGGTTGGTTATTGAAGGTATGACAAAATAGTCTCTACAGTACGCTGAAAAAATATTTCAATCTG